GTCTAATACGACCTATAGAGCTGAAATTTTTACCAGAAGCATATCTCACTAAGATCACTCATCCCTGAAAATTTCAGCTCAAGCGGACCATCCTAAGTGGGAGATTTTTTCTGAGGGGGGGGGGTCCCCTTAAGTAAGGCTGCATACTTGAATAATATTATTAAATATTTTCATATGTACTTTTGAGAATAAATAAAATTAACTATTTTATTAAAAAAATCCAATAGAAGACAATGTGTTTATCATTTTTGTTTTTTCTTTTCAGTATTCCAAATGTTCAATCTATAAACGAAGATGATTTACCTAGAGTAGCATCATTAAAAATATTCGATTTGTACATATTGACACAATGTGATATTGATTCACTTGGTCTTATTCTTGATTGTATGCCTAATCTTCAAGAATTTAGTTTTACACTTATCGTTGAACATCTTCATACACCATTTATTGATGTCTTACTCAATGGAAATAACTGGCAACAAATGTTGACAAGTCATGTATCACATTTGACCAAATTCGATATTCATATGTCTTTTTTAACACACGATGGACTAGTCAATTCCAAATTGATTCTTGATTCATTTCGATGTTTTTGCACACAATATAATGGTTGGCATATGGCTATTAGTCGATGGAAAACTTTTCAAGATTTTATACTCTGTAAGTCAAAGAAATCATGATTTATTTTATTCACTTTTGCCAGTAACAGACGAAAGGATAGGAAGGATAAAGCATTTTTCTCAGCATTGATGCATATTGACGAAATTGAAATGATATGAGCAGTGTTTTTTTTTCTTCCATACAGAAAAGAAAAATCAAAAGAAGATAACAAACTCGTTGAACAATTCTACAATTAAAAACTAAATGAGAAACGATGATTTGTAGAACTTCGTCGATACTTTCAACATGTCTTCAATGCATGTTTGTTTTAATAAGAAAGATTTTTAGGTAATTATAGAGCATAAATACAAGAAAAAAATAACCATTTTTTTTTTGCTCTAGAAATTCTTGTCATTCTCATGGTAGTCTAAAGAGTTTGAGATTTGATGTTTCCTCTTTCATAAGTATAGCTCTTGAAAAAAAACAGAAGAATGACTCAGTAAAAATATGATATATCTGGGTATGATGATTTTCATTCAAATCGTATTGGTCTTGATGAAAATTATATAGGTCGATTGAGAAATATTTGATCTATTCTGCAATCAAAAAATGAGCTCGAACAGATGCAATTAAGTGAAAATATTCGATTTCTTTTGCAAAAATTTGAAAATGATGATATATACTTCGAATGAATCATAGTATATTTAGATGAATGTATTGTTTTGCGCACACTCAACTACAAATATTTGGTACCGCGATATAAATATTTTACAACAATGAATATATGTTATGGCACATTCGAAATAATCTCAACAGATTTATCAAATACTAATAATTACTACTTTCAATCGCATAATAACTCAATAGAATTTTATATGCCAACATATATGGAAAGTCGAATGAATTCATCATGTGCAAATATTCCATTTAGAAACGTTTATTTTCTTGTCATACGTTTATCATTGATAGAATCAAGAATAATCTCATTTTTAAAGAACATATTCACATCAAGTGAGTAAATACAAGTCTATGACTTATGAACTCTTCCATAAACTAATTGTGTTATTATTGTTGTTTTTTCTTTTGTTCAGTTTTTACGCGTTCTCATACAGATCAATCGGATCAATATGTCGAAAGTCTTTCATCTCTTATTGATTTGTCGACCATCATTACCTTAAAATTTAAAGAAAACAACGATTTAAGACGATCACATGTTGCACCGCATATTATACGGTATGTTGAATTATCTAGAATAAAAGTTTTAGACAAGCATATTCTACTGAAAATCTCGTAGAAAACTCTTTTTAAAAGTACTAGAATGTTGTACATATATTAGAGATCTGACATAATCATTTTTTTTTCAACTAGTGATTTTTTATTTGATTTTGTTATAAGAGATTTGTAACAAGCATATCTTAAATAATTCAATCTTGATGTGTGTAAGATTACAGTAATCAGTATTGATTCCAACTATCCATGTAAAAGTTTTGAAAGTGAACTTAAGAAGAATCGATTATCTTAAGATCAAAATAATGGAAGTATTCTATATAGCTCTAATCAATCGGAACCTGTGATAAAATTGTTTTACAGCCCAAAACTTATTCAATTTGAATTAAAATATATTGAATTATTATTGAAATTTCCATTGAATGAATCTGAATGAATATTTTCTAAAACAGCAGAAGTTGTGTGCACTTATCATCGAAGCATTCCTGCTTGACAGTATATATCATTAGAAGAGCTGTTCATTTCATCATTTTTCTTCTTGCTATATGATAGCAGTTTCTCACCTGAAATCTACATAGAATCGATCTGGTATTTTCCATGTTTTTATTTCTAAATTACAGTTTGGTCCTACAGGTTTGTGATGACTGACCATGTTGCTTATAAGAAAACTAATATTATTGATATTTTGGTTACAATTATATTCAATGTCGAATAATCAATCTAAAATAACATTGTTTTCTTGACTTTTTAGAGCATGTGTGAATGTCAAAAGACTTATTATGCATACTTCATTATTATTCTTGCCTATAATCATCGACAATGCGGAGCTTACTCTTACTTTTAGCCGAATAGAGAAGCTTGAACTGTTTGTGGATCATATGTACTTTCCATTAAAATATGGCTCAAAAATTGTGGAACGTTTTTCATCTTTGAGAGAGATCAAAATTATTCATTATTCATTCGATTCTAACTTACTGATCGTCGATATTTTTCTCTGTGGTCTTCCAAAATTATGTGATGTTATCATCGAATTTTGTCATGATACTTTATTAGATAATCCAATTTCGCGTGATCATGTCATAGAAAAGCGACGTCAGTCGTTTGGTTTAAACAGAAACGATGAAGACAAAGTGATTGTAAGAGCTAAAGCTCATATATTGTATATCTGGATTCCATAATTATTGATTTGCACATTTGTTGTTTAAGATTTCATTCGCATTCGTTTACATTTTACCCAGAGAATGATAAAAACTTTAATGATTTACACAAGTATACGACAGATTTCAGCCTCAAGAGAAGCATTTTTAGCCTGTAATGAAAATCCCAATGCTTTCTCTTGTTTTAATTAAACATTTTATAACGACAGACAACTCAGTTGTTCACACTATTTCTCCTCACTTACAAATTTTTATGTTGAACAAATCTATCTTTAGCGGTTTTGTAATTACCTTGCTCTTACTTGTTTTTTTAATCGGTATCTCATCATCAAATGCCAAGCATGAGTACGAAAAACCAAACCATACCCATGACAGAAAAAGAAAAGAAACGCCACCATTGCAATATCAAAATGCATTTTTTTCTTCAATGTAATTATTCTCGTCTCTTTTTTGTACACTTTCCAAACATGTTTGTACATATGCACATAAAATGTCTCTTTGATTGATGTATAATGATAAAAATTGTTTACAAGATTAAAAGGATGTTATTTACTTCGTGAATAAAATACCCAAAAAGAACTAAGCACACAATACATACGCAAAATTATAGTGAGTATCATCATTTTTATTATTTTATTTTATATACAAACTTGAGAGAATTCAAACGGAATAAGTATCAATAGTAAAAGCATTTGATGATGATTACGCACGTCGATCGAGAAGAATCCATTTTCGGTACGTTTTCGAAATGTAAACAATGAAAAAACGATATCTTTACGCCATTATTTAACCAAATTATCGAGCGCACAAATATGGTTCTTAGATTATGCTTGTCTAGGAATGCACTAGTTTCATTCCCGACCGCTCGGCAGCGTATCAGTCCGACTGGACTAGTGCATCCCTATTCGAATTAGATATTTTCATTGGAATAAAGAAGTTATAGATGGATGAGTGATTTTTCAAAAACTTATCAGAATTTCAATTTGGCTGTTGAAGTGTCGATTATAAAAATGTTTAAAGAAAATAGAATCAAAAGACGAAAACATTTATCAGTAACACCCGAAGATCTTCGTGTTTGATTCATGTTCATGACTGAATGATGTCTTTCATAACCAATAAATCAAAAATTTGTTTTAGGGTTTGTCTATCAAATAAATATCCTACATTACTTAACTTAAATATATGAATCGAATCGCTAAAATCTACGTTTCAGAAATTTCGATTAGATCAACATAAAGTATCTGTACTATACTAATATGATTTTCTCTTGCAAACTATTCTGATCAAATTAAAACATTGTTTTTGATATTCGATATCAATTTCTTCCTATAAATTCCCGTCTTTTTTGCTTCTGCCAATAATATCATTTAAAATTTATTTTCGGCTTCATTGCATACGGATTGCTGGTCATATGCGTGTTTCTTCTAAGGAAATCTTCTACACAAGATGATCCATACGACTCTGGTAAGTGTCAGTTGACATAAACGTTCGTAAATTTCAAGTAGTTAATTATTACATTCTAGATCGTCTACACATATGAGTATTTAGTTTATTTAAATCCTGAGGCAACAAGCTCATCGCAATTAATATAATGTTAAAGTGCCTTAACAGACTAAAAACATACGTTCCTCATATTTCATTTCTCTTTCAATTGCATGTCTCTTCATCGTTTCCTCTATTACAAACGATTATCCACTGGATTCACTGAATTTTTGTCTGTTACTTTTTAAAAGTAATGATAAAATAAAAATGAAACAAATATAACATTCTCTCTTAACAAAAGTAAAATGTCTGTTGAAATATGAAAAACTCGCTACTCTCTAAATAAGCATGCATAAAAGATATTCCAAAAGTATTTTTATATCTATATAGTTTTTATAAATTACCTCGATGAACCATTCGGATTTTTGACAAATCGGAACTAATCTAGACTGAAAGCTGCAACGACTGCAGCTGCAGGAACCTTAATGACGGAAACTCTTGTAATTCTCTTTTTTTCGAAATTTTATAAAAATTTGAGTATATTCTCGCACGGAACCACACCAATAAAAATTACGATTATTTTGAAGTTTTTTATATTTGTGAAAATACGATTTTGAACAATTTACACAGACTAAAATGAATGCAGTGTGATAGATTTTAAGTAATCAGCAAAAATAAAAAAAAGGACAATACTTCTTGATAATGGTTTGATTTTAAATATAGATGTTTATTAGAGAAATTGTACTGACTTATGAGTTAGTCTTTGTTTTAAATGATTATAATTTTTATGATAGATAAGAAATGACAAGATTTATTTCTTATTAAACTATGCCAAAGTGAGTCTGATCCTATTTAATTGATGATATATTTTCATGAAAATGTTTCACATAAGAAAAAAGAGATATTTTTTATTCTGTATATTTTATTTTATCGTTTTCTTAAATGACTTCAATCATATCATATTGATGTCAAACGAAGCGAAAACTTTTTCTCTCACATTTATTATCTTCTTCTCTTTAAGCGCACATATATTCGTATTTAACGCCCCATTTTCTATCGCAGTGGCATAATGTTATTTTAATGTAATGGAAAAAAGTGCATGTAACTTGTCTTAACCAAAGAGGGGATATGAGAAAGGGACAATGTGAAGATAGTTGGGATGATAGATGTCGTCCTATAACACCACGTAAAAAAAGTTCTGCAAATAATCGATT